TCATCAACAGGGGGGTGCAGATAAAAAGGAATGGCCCCAATATCAGGGCATGTCATTTGAAGAGAGTTATCACTCCACTCACCTATCACTCTCAAAATATCAGGGCGTATCAGGGCATGTCATTTGAAGAGAGTTATCACTCTACTCACCTATCACTCTCCAAAAATGAGGGCATGCTATTTGAAGAGTTATCACTCCACTCTATCACTCACCCAAATCAAGATTAAGACAAGCTATTTATCACTCTCCCAATTTATAACTCTTTTAATTTATAACTGAACTCGTCAAACCAGTCAAGTACCGCATGGATTGCAGTGTAAAATGTCTCACATGGCAGAGACTTCTTCAAGCACTCCAACAATGACAGTAATCAGTATAGGCTTGGAAAATAATAGAAAACCATGGGGTACAGAACTAAACTACTATTATATATTTACCTGTCTTTGGCAATGTTGGTATCCATGGCAACTGGCAGGAACTGATAACTGATTTAAATTTTTGATGATTTTTATCAGAATTCCAGCTAACAGTAGGTAAATCTGGAATCAGAAGCGGAATCACATGACTCAATGTTCAAAAGTCTGTCTGAGCACACATAAAATAGGTAATCTACAATTGTTTTTGAACAAGAAAGAAATTCCAATTCAAAGAGATAGAGCAATGCACAAGGTTTTGAGAAAATAAAGACACAGTTAGACAAGTTAGAATCAAACAAAGGCGAGTTACACAACAAATTAAGCACACCTAAGCTGGGTGAAAAACAAATACAGCAAACATAAGCTGGATGAGAAACAAATTAAGCACACCTAAGCTGGATGAAAAACAAATAGAGCACACCTAAGCTGGATGAGAAACAAATTAAGCACACCTAAGCTGGGTGAAAAACAAATAGAGCACACCTAAGCTGGACGAGAAACAAATTAAGCACACCTAAGCTGGATTAAAAACAAATAGAGCACACCTAAGCTGGATGAGAAACAAATTAAGCACACCTAAGCTGGGTGAAAAACAAATAGAGCACACCTAAGCTGGATGAGAAACAGATTAAGCACACCTAAGCTGGATGAGAAACAAATAGAGCACACCTAAGCTGGATGAGAAACAAATAGAGCACACCTAAGCTGGATGAGAAACAAATAGAGCACACCTAAGCTGGATGAGAAACAAATAGAGCACACCTAAGCTGGATGAGAAACAAATAGAGCACGCCTAAGCTGGATGAGAAACAAATAGAGCACACCTAAGCTGGATGAGAAACAAATAGAGCACACCTAAGCTGGATGAGAAACAAATAGAGCACACTTAAGCTGGATGAGAAACAAATAGAGCACACCTAAGCTGGACGAGAAACAAATAGAGCACACCTAAGCTGGATGAGAAACAAATAGAGCACATCTAGGTTTTTTTTAAATAAAATCAAGTGATGTCATGAGTCACTGTCACTGCTCAGTAGTAAATATAACTTTTGAATCAACACATAAATCGAATGGTTGTGAATATGTTTCTCAAGATATATTACGCCTGTGTGTAAAGTCTGAATGTGATTGGCTAAGACATGTCCAAGATAGAGATGGAGACATACAGACAGATAACACACACAGAAGACTATTTGAACTGGAACTAAAAAGAATACCTAGCCTTAGCAAAGTCTGTGATAACCTACCTGGTTCAGTATGAACTGCTGTAAATTCTGGTATAGGCCATGAGATATTACATAATTCATCACTAGTTATTCTCTGCAATAAATGCTCTAATACACTATTATATAAGGAAGCATATCTATTGGGATCCTATAAAACAGCAAAATATAAATTTATAGTTAACCTTTTTACCATCAGACTTTCTTACTAACTTTTGCTTATATTCTTCAATATTTCTGGAAATGAACTGTAATTATGAAACCAACAGACACAATTTTAAACAATTTTCAGTCTTTACTAAAAACAAAATTGGCTATTTTTGTCCCAATCATCTGAAGGTAAGTGCAGACTTATAAATGGTACTATTGTGAATTTGAGATGAAAAGTTGGAACTGGTGGTGAAAAGATTGAACGATCACTCCATACTTCAATTCAACAATCAATCTACTACTTTACCTGTGTAATTTCACATGGATAGTTAACAGTGTCTTGTAACAATGGAGTAATAAAATACTCCACCACACCACACTCTAAGTAATCTTGTAATGTGTTGGCAGTTAACTTTGGTACTAGAGGTCGGGAGGTGGCTAACCACTGTAGACAATCTGAAAACTAAAAAAAAGAAATAAAGGTTGATAAATATAGTAATTTTATTTCCATTGTTTGTGCAGAAAGCTGCAAAAGCAATTTGTTTTTGTCATTATATTTTTGTAACACCATTCTATGTACATGTATATAAATTGTTGGTAT